ACCTCTGAACTTAAGAAGAAAAAAAATTCCGATTTGCATGCCTTTTGCCACTTAGATGAAAATGGTGGATAAATCCCAGTGCATATATTGCCCCGTATCTACACCCAATAGCATGCTCATGCTTCCACAATTTTACTCTGGTCACCTCTTTTTTACCTCTCTTGGGAATATACAACCGATGCCGCCTGTTAGGCGCTGGTAGATTTGCAAGCATATTACCATCATAGTCAACCGTATTGCTGCACCATAGTAAAATAGCATTTGACTTCCTTGAAGTGACTCCAGTGCATGTCATACTTGGTGACTAACATGTGATCGGAGGGTAGCAACGGCCGATAGTGGGTGGCCAACTCGCAGCTGGAATGTGGCTAATATGCTATCACACCGTATTGGGGAGTCGATGCTCACGCTAGCAACCATTACTTTGTGTTTGTACTGCTAAACTATAGCTGACTCAGATTGTCAAGCAGTTTTCAACTATAACCTGAACCATTTGTCCATGGCTACGGCAAGGTCACAGGTTTGCTTGTAGTTTTGGTAAAGATCATTCAACATGTGGGCAGGTTTAGAACTTGACACTAGCCCGCTGGCTAGTACAAATTCCCAAATTTCTCTGTTTTTAACATTACTGGGGCATCTTAACGGGGGCTGGGAAAGCTTGAGTTTAGTTCTAACCCCGATGGGTCTCCAGGTTAGAACATATCCTTGGTAACCTGTAGGAGTAACCTATGCATGTCATAAGATGCGTCTTAATGAATCGGACTTGTAGCTTATGCAAAATGCATAGATTTGGGATAAATTAACTATTTTATAGAAATGATCCCTAGTCTCAGAAGGGGGCACAGGTGGCCCAGTCGTCTAAAGCACAGCAATTCGCTGTGCAGAGTTGCGTCCCTTGGGGACGCCAGAAACCTATGATTGTGGGTTCGAGTCCCGGTTCACCCCGATTATGTTTCTAGGTTTGTCAGCACCATACCCGTGCTCGTGCGTTTCACCGAAGTGGTAAACATCTGAGACCTGCATCACTTCGGGCTTTCCTCCCACATCAAGCTGACACACCGTTATATAACTCCAAGTCCTACTCCCTCACTCACTCTAGTCTCTGACTAGCAGACTCGTGTCCATGACTAGTCCCGTTGATCAGACTCAGCTACTTTGTTGATGGCAGGTCATCAATGGTGGGGAACATTACTCAGAATATCAGCTAATGGTTTGTCTGGTCCAGACTCTTATTATATAGAAACTGAAGCGATATGGATAGAGCATTGGTGACTGCAGCGTTAAACAACCAACATCTGTCGAGGTACAAGGCTTGTACTAAAAACTGACACAGTAGGGGCTATATTGAAAGAGTTTAATGCTGTTGATCCCTTGTGCGCCACGCGACTGTGTTAAGGTATATCTGTGTGACCAGGAGGTTGCAAGTGATACTGTGTTTCGTAATAGTAGTTCTTACCACTGCTTGATTCACTTCCTTGCCAAGCTTTATCTGTAAATCTTCACTGATAGAGACTGGTAAAATGTGGTCTGGGGGTTCTAATGTGATATCCAGCGTGTAAAAGGGTTAGAAAGTTAAATCATATTTTCTTGATGATACAGATCCAGTTTTCTACAAGCAATTCATAGGCAGACTATGAACAAAGGCACCAGTCCTACTTTCTTCGAACTGGATACCAGCGCTTTATAAATCTGTAGTTATTATTATTATTATTGTAATTCACTGTGCATAGTTGTGTCCCTTAGTTGTGCCAGGATTTGCAGGTCCTTGGTTTGAATCTCAGACCCGTGATAATGATTCTTGGTCTGTCAGGGTCATGCGTCGTGAATGTGTGTCAGTGTCTTCACTTTCTAATAGTGCGCGGACACTTTGTGAATAATGTGGCATTATCCCACTGACGCTATGGGAAATGTCTGTATTGGCATTGGTTTCCTTGAGTTGGTGTTCAGAGATTTGTGTCCATGTTTTGCAGACATGGAATAATCCATGAGTACCTTATGAATACATACACACCAAGTGTGATAAACACCTATATCGCCCTGTGAAAACCTTTCAAGATCAGTATCCTAGCACTAGCAAACATGACTTTTTTTTCTAAAAGTAGAAATTAATAAAATATTGATTCTGAATGCATATCAGTATGATGTAGCCTGGTCATGCCTGGTCATGCTGGTCATGTCAGTGATCATATTTCCTGTGTACGGCATGTATTCTGGTGGACGTTGATATGATGCAGGGTGTCCCATTGTGATGTGATGGCTGGATATAGAGCTGATTCTAGCCTTCAGTGTCTGGAAGGAAAGAGAATGAATATCATCCAGGAACTTAGATTAGGCTGAATACTCTGTGTGTGGTCTGTCATGATCATGTGATCAAGTACACGCTATTGATATAACACAGTATTTGTTAACGCAATATAAATAATGTCAATATAATAACACTAAAATTGCCTGAAAGTGATGCTTAGAGCCATGTTTGGACTAGTAGCCTCAAAAGGTTTTGGCACAGATTGTCTAATAAGTAACAGTATAAACAATGTAGACTTCATATTGTCCATTGGTATTTCATGTCTGTCATAACGGCTGACTGAGATGGTGATTGACCGGTCACAATGGCTGGTTTGTATGGACACTCCCAGAACAGGAAGAACCTGTCTACATGCTAATTGTGTCATTGAACCTCATGGATTGATGCTCATTCTTTTGACCACTGGTTTGTTGGGTTGTCGCAGTTAGCATGATTAGTTAGTGCCACACATCATCCAATCGGCAGACATTCAATTAATCTTCAGTAAAATACTATCAGGCTATCTGTGTTGTACTGTGTTAGGATTTCTTATGATCAGTCATGATTAGCAGTGCTGGAAATGAACCATGAAAGAATGCAGATCCTTGTCATAACCCCGAGTTTAGAAGTTAGAGATTTAGAATCACACCTCAAGGGCCTCAGAGACAGTGGGGTAGCCTTGTGGTTAAAGCGTTTGCTTGTCACGCCAAAGACCCAGGGTCGATTCCCCACATGGGTACAATGTGTGAAGCCCATTTCTGGTGTCCCCTACCGTGATATTGCTGGAATATTGCTAAAAGCAATGTTAAACCTCGCTCGCTCGCTCGCTCGCTCACTCACTCACTCACTCACTCACTCACTCACTCACTCACTCACTCACTCACTCACTCACTCACTCACTCACTCACTCACTCACTCACTCACTCACTCACTCACTCAAGGGCCTCAGGACCACCTTTGACTTTTAACAGTGATTGAATTGAACCAGTCACGTAGAAAACGTTTTGACTATGGTGTTTGTAAAAATATTTGATATTATCTGTGACAAACATACCCAAAATATTTGATATTATCTGTGACAAAATACCCAAAATATTTGTTATTGGTTGTTTGCTTCAGTGATGATTGGGGATGATTTTAGAAGTGACGCCTGAACACCACTAGTGCTGCTGCAGAATGTGTTGTTCCGGCTAGCATGGCTGATGTACTGAGGCTTAGACTAATATCTAGTCTCTGAAATGAACATATTTTACAGTTGTTAAATTACAATAATAAAATATAATAAAAAGGCGCCCAGAGACTATCTTCATTTTCAGTATTTTCTGATACCTCTGTAATCTAGGCATGCCCACTATTATAGACTTGCATGGGCTATATTGGATATATTTGTTTTAGGATCTGTGTGACAGACTAACTTAGGCTGTGCTGATGGCGGTACCTAAATTGCCTCCCTTTGTTGCTGATGCTGGTACATTATATATATCAATAGTATTTTAACATGTATCACAATACATTTGTCACGTGGATGTTATTTCAAGGCAGGACCATCACATGGTCCACTTCAGGACAAGCTGTGCTCTCCGGGTAAACAAAGGAATTACTATTATTAATGTTTGGATGGTTTTTAAGACTGACCGACAAATAGATCCTGAAATAGGAAAACAAAAAAAATTACTTTGACACTAAAAAACATTTGGGCATTGGGATTTTATCATCACTATTTGTAAGAAATTGTAAATAATAGAAATTAAGATCTATATCCTAAAAAAACAAAAAAACTACCGGTAATGAATTATTTTTATGAAGTTTTTTTTGTTTTTCATTATAACCAACTAATACAAAATAAAAGATGAAATGTCTGTTTGTCAACATTTAATCTCCTGGAAATAGAAACAGCAAGTTCGGACTTGTAGACTCAAAACGAAAACATATACCGTATTCAACGTAATAAGCGCCCCGCTCTGATAAGCGCCCATGGCGATATTTGCTAATATATTGGCTAGTGAACAATCCTTGATACTGTAGTAACATTTGCATTACGTAACTCGCTGTTCTCGGTGATGTCGAGGGGAAGGGTGGTAACATTGGCATTACGTAACTCGCTGTTCTCGGTGATGTCGAGGGGAAGGGTGGTAACATTGGCATTACGTAACTCGCTGTTCTCGGTGATGTCGAGGGGAAGGGTGGTAACATTGGCATTACGTAACTCGCTGTTCTCAGTGATGTCGAGGGGAAGGGTGGTAACATTGGCATTACGTAACTCGCTGTTCTCAGTGATGTCGAGGGGAAGGGTGGTAACATTGGCATTACGTAACTCGCTGTCCTCGGTGATGTCCAGGGGAAGGGTGGCCTAGTTGTCTCGGGCGCGGCTATTCCCTATGACCGTGGGTTCGTATCTCAGATTTACTCTCATGGATCCAGGTTTGTCGGCACAAGACCCTTGCTTGTGGGTTTCACCCAAAAGGTTGACATCTAAGACCTACATCACTTAGGCTTTCCTCCCACATCAAGCTGACCTGCGATGATCCTGTTCACAGTGGCGTTACACCACACTCACCCACCCACTCTCGACAGTGGCCGCATTCAGAGATTGGATTTTGTGTCCATGAGGTTTTACTGGCAGTTTTCAGAAGTCCTCATCACCTAGTCTATTTTAAGTTTTTGCATGTTTTCTTACCTTAAGTGTGTTCAAAGATGGTGCTTTTGCTTGTTTCAGATGAAGTAAGCATGGACTAGCTTACAAAGCGCATCACCCCAAAGTCAAGAACAAGTCAACAATAAATATAGAGGTTCTCGCATAAAAGGATTCAAAATGGTTTTATCACAAAGGCAGAAAGATGAGCTGTAAGTATACCAGTATACTGAGTGTGGTGGTGTCATATCAAAACAAACATATCTAGTTGATACACAAGAAAAGCAGTCATGCACAATGCCAGTCCGAGCCTGTGTCCTGACATGCCTGGAGCATGTGGAGTCGAGAAGAAATTCTATTTTATTTTGAAAGGTGTTGTAATTCAGGCCTGTGTGAAATGAGCGGTCACAGCCGTCTTCAATCACTATACAGGTAGTGGACTGCTACAGGTATAAACTAACATTTTGAGTTGACTGGCCCTATGATGATAGCATACAGCAAAACCCTTAAAAATGGTAAATTCCTCCTAGTCCTCATTATACCTTAACTATTGGGCAGTTTGGCAAGGACTACAGGACTAGTATAGTGTTAGAAATTGACACTAGTCATAGTCCTTGCCAAACTGTTCAATAGTAAGGTATCATAAGGACCAGTAGAAAATTGCCATTTTTAAGGGTTTTGCAATATGTTACCATAATAAGGACAAGTGGACTAAAAACTTTAGCTTATACCACTGCTAGTGCCAATTGCTAACACTGTGGCCTCGGCTGATATTGCCCATACATGGAATAGTCCACATCATTAAACATGTTAAAGTATCTGTACATTATATTCCTATTTCTATTCTTCATGAAACCGTATGAACTTCATCCTATGTTCAGACGCCAGTGAGCAACTTGCAGATAGATCTAGGTGCTATGCAAGTTTTGTATGTGTTGTGTTCAACTGGGTTGAAACCTGGAGACTTACATACCATCCATCATTGACTCCAGACTAACACATACTGTGGTCAATAGTACATAGCATTCAGTGAAGGTCTTTTAACGTAAAATACACAGCCTTGTATTCTCAGCACTTGCTTGATAATGATAACACTTGCAAACAAATAAAAATAACATTTTTCCACGTACTTGAAGGGCGACCTTTTACAAGGGGCAAATGGCTCCAGGCCAATTGTAGGCAAGGATCTCGTATGATCCGTGTTCATGGTGAACTGAGAGGATTTGTGGTTTTCACACCAGAACTGCTTGTTAGATAACTGTTGCTAAGTGGTGTGGAGAAGGAGTTACGTATGATTGACCTCACTGAGGAGTTCAGCTTGTTCAGGCACCTCGTAGACTCTGACTGACATAGTCTTTGAAATCCTTTTTTACACAGTGTATTTCTCTCCACAAAAACAATACTTTGCAAGCTGGCTAGACATGCTTTTTTCTTCTTCTTTTTTTACCAATGCCAAATCTGATTTTTTCGCGAATGATATCCAAATCAAAACAAGTTGTGTAGAAAAAGTGTTGTTGCTTATGCTTAATGGGATTTATGAGACCAATCATATTGAACAAGCAGCCGTCAGTGTAACTATAGTTATTAAATTATGAGAATCAAGAATTTGTTATTGTACAGAACACCCTTGTAGGGCAGGGTACAAACTAGCTACATTTGGGAATAAATATAACTCTAGACATGAAAGGTAGATATACATGATGTACATTATATATGGAGATATTACATATTAGTTTCATAATGTAAACATTAGATTGTCCTGGTTATTGAGGAAGTAAGTAGATCACAAGAACTGTGTTGAACAAGCACCTGTCTGCAGATAGAGAATGTGTTCAGCTGTGATGGGGAGCATTTCTTCAGAACTGGTGGTGCTGTTCTTCTGGAAGTGCACCTGGTTCACCACACCACAGTTCTAATCAAATCTGTCTTCTTTGTGTACAGTGACAGAGCTGAAACTACAAACATTCTTTCTTCAAGCTGATGAGAGAATTGTGCAGTGTAATCATTTGTAAAACAGATCAGTCGACCAGAGACAGGAGAGATTGAACCCTTTTGTTTCAAGGCTGTGGTGTACAGTGATCGTAATTCACATGATCATGATGATGGATTACAACAGATGGTTTTGTCAGTGCTAGGGGGAACTTTAGAGAGAAGTGCAGCAGTGTTCTTTAGACTAGCGATTAGTCTCTGAAAATGTTTAATTTTGAAAGAAACAACTTGATTTATATTGAAAAGAATCCCCAGTGATATGGGATGTTCCTGAACCTGTTGAAAATAGATACTTGCTTCTTTTAGGGATATACCTTTACTGGGCTAGGCGGAAGGGAAAGTAATATGGTTCAGGGAGCGTGAGACAGCTTAGAGTTTTCTTCTCTGACACTAAATAATTATAGATGGGTTTCTCAGTAAATTATGCACGAATTGTCAAATGACGAAGAAGCAGTAGATCGTGTCATGAAAGATGAATGAGAAATGAAAGTTGTGCATGGATATCATTTATCCTTCATTAGTATCCACACAGTAAGATGAACTTTCATTTGGTGTTGTGCTATGCTTTTCAACTAAAACATATATCTTTGAGGAAAATGTTGCAGCAGCAACAGGCATTGAAGCCATGTTCATTTTGTAAGTGCTATTTATTCAAGTCGGCTGCCTTTGTGGTAGGGTGTCAGGCCTCAGAGAGGAAGGTCAAGGTTTCTATTCGCAACCGAGTCACGCCAAAAATCCAAATGATGGTACTTGTTGTTACCCTGCCTGGCACTCAGCATTAAGGGACTAAAACAAGAACTGGTCGGCTCAGGGCAGTATACGGTGTCTGAGTGGGGTATTCATGTTAAACTTCAGCATGGTATCTAAGTGGGCTAGCACTATAAATCGGCAATCCATAAAGCAACTCTACAGTGAAATAAATTACTTAGGTCAACACTACTGTCCAGACTTAAATGTTTTTCTGCATGTATGGTAACCACATGTGGAGTTTGGTCAGCTGAGAGGAGGAAGGTGAATATGTTCAGTCAGCTGGATGTGTGCTTCCGTCTCTGACCTTATCTGCCTCTGCAGGACATCTGCAGGACCAAGTGATGGGCTTCAGGATAACGACTTGAACATGCCCCAGACAGGTGCTCTCATCATCTAATTGAATAGCTGGCACCCTTGATTTACGCTGCCACGCTTGAGTGACAGGGGCACATGGGGGCGTGACTGCATACCATTTGTGCAAAAACTGTAATATCCGACTCGTTCCTTGACAATAGAGGAGGATAGTGATGTTTCTATTTGTGACTGTTCCACTGTCAGCAGTAGAAACTAATATTTGTAGTCCACTAATCCTTATAATGATTACAATAACAAACAGCAAAACCCTTAAAAATGGGAAATTTCTTTTAGTCCTAAGGATACGTTAACTGTTCGGCTCCCAATTTCATGGATCGATGCTCATGATGTCAATCACTGGATTGTCTTGTCCAGAGATTATTTACAGACCACCGTCCTGTAGCTGGAATATTGCTTAGTGCAGCGTTAAACAACAAACAAACACAAAACTATTGGGCAGTTTGTTAAGGGCTAGTGCCAATTCCTTACGCTGGATGTGTTGCTTGGCTATTTGGTATTTATGCAGTGTTACTTCTGTTAAGTTCATTTTTTTGCTTAGCATGTGTCAATTTATGAATTTATTGTTCACCCAAAATTCAATTTTCACTTTGTTTTGTGGGTATGGTAGGACCTACATACATGCTCATGTTGATAAGGAACTCCCAGCTGCCTCGTAGGGCTGTCTACTTATTCACAAATGACATCGGAGTTACATGGTACAAGTGATCATTATGTGATATCAGCATTTTTTGTGTGACCCCGGGTAAAGCCTGATGATTTTATGGACATTATTTATTTTTCATCAGATGTAATATTTCCATTGAATTTGAATCCTTTCTTGAATAGGGACATGCAATGCAGTATCCCTACCTACCCGTGATTGAATTATCCTGCACCATGACTGTGGAATATATTTATTTTATGAAAAAAAACAATCTAGAAACGCATACAAAAGCATGTCTAGCCAGCTCTAGCTAGCTCTATTCCACATATGAAATCAGCATAGGAAAAAGGGAAAAAAACCATTTTATTTTTAGAGTCAAGAAGGATATTGTGTTATATATAAGATTTTATAGACTAGATGTACAGTTCGTCTAGTGTTTGAAGTTGTCAGGGCATTGTGCTGCATGGGTTGTACTCTGTGGTTTGCAATTATTATGCAGGAGTCCACCAACCAACCATTCATGAACCTACCCAACCCTGTTCCTGATGAAAACACTGTACAGTATACTGGTATGCTACTCAACTTTTGAAAGGGATAATCAGATATGCCTTTCTGTTTATATATACACTTGACATAAGTTGAATCTAGTGTATCATGGAAAGATGAAGATACCCCTATCAAAAGTGGAGTAGTATAGATTCAGTCTTAGTGTGATCCGCTGTAAACTGTGAGTCATCTATGTAAAACTGTCATTACTATAATGTAAACCTTTATCAAATTATGTGAACTGGGTGTTTGTTCCTGAAAGTAACTTTCAATGCTCATTCAATTTATTTAATGCAGTTTGTTTTGAAAGGGGGGAAATACTCTGAAGACAATGCCATGCCATAATAACAAAGTATTGTGCATTCCCATGGCCGTGATGTTGGTGTGGTAACCGTTGTATAGTATCAGTTGTGTCGTCTGGTACACTAGGCCAGTGATATCAGTGACCACAATGATGAGTCATGGATGTGGTATTCCCGATACAGATGCTGGCCAGCCAACCAGCACACATCATTTATTCACTGCAGACTAGGTGGAGTAACTGTTATACCGATAGCTTGACTGTATCCTGCTATGGTGGGTAGTCCCCAAGAATGTCATAAGACTCATATCTCATGGTCCTGTGTTAGAGAAATGGTAATTAATACCTGTAGAGCTGATGATATGCTGTAGCAGGAGAAATGCTGATAAGAGCTTGATTGTGGTAGGGGTTTGGGACATTAAACTAATATTCAGCGTTAGAAATTGGCACTAGTCCTGTAGTCCTTGCCAAACTGCCCAATGGTTAAGGTATCATAAGGACTAGTAGAAATTTGCCATATTTAAGGGGTTTGCATTATGTTATCATTTATATGGAATGTGGACTAAAAATGTTAATTTATACCGCTCATGCATGCATGCATACAAACA